GGATCAGACTTTTTAGCTTGTTTTCTAGACCAGGCCAAAACAATGCAGTGGACTTCCGTAGGATCTGTGTATCCAAGAAGCTGGTTCTTCAGTTGGGGAAATATGTATGTGAAGTCAGTGCAGTAATAGGCAACATTAGAGAATCTTCCAGGCAGTGTCCCAAGCACTTCACTTACACGCTTGACCCTTGAACAAAGCAGAGATTAGGGGCACCAAACCTTCTGCCACTGAAAATCCATGTATAACTTTTGACTTCTCAAAAACTCAACTACTAATAGCCTACTGGTAACTGGAAGTTTTAATGATAACATAAACAGTCAATTAACATGTTTTTTGATATTATATACTGTATTGTTAAAGAAAATGTTAAGAAAATTATAAAGAAGAGAATATTAAGTGGAAGTGGATCATCATAAAGGTCTTCCTCCTCATTGTCCTCATGTTGATTAGGCTGAGGAGGAGGAGGAGAGGTTGGTCTCAGTGTCTCAGGGGTGGCAACAGTGGAAGAAGACCTGTGTATAAATGGACTCATGCAATTCCAGCCCAGGTTGTTCAAGGGTCAACTGTATTAACTTACTTTGTCTTCATAATAATCCTCTGAAGTAGATACAATCGTTATTCCATTTTTACAGCTGGGGAAACTCCTAACCACTGGGATGAACTGTCCACAGTGGTGCTGAGACCTCTTTCCTTGGGCGTGTCCAGATTCTTCTCCTGTCTCCCCATTTCCTCCATCTGACCTATGTAAATATTTAGCCATCACTAAAAAACAACCTGGGTTTACATTTCCACCAACTTTGTCTAAATCTGACCACTGTTTGCTGGGACTGTCCTAATAGCCTATTAACTGGTTTTCCCATTTCTTCTCTTGCTCCTTTCCAGCTCCTTCTCCACCCTCTTCTCCACTCAGCAGCCAGGTGATCATTTCAAAGAGTAAACTAGACCAGGTCCCCCCACTAGGTAAAACTCTCAGTGTCCTCCCATTCACTTAGAATAACATCCAAACTCCAGACCACAAACTCAAGGTCTTCCTGGTCACCTTCTTTTTTACAAAGTCATCTCCTGCTCCTCTCCTCTCAGACCCATGGGTGTGGTTCTCATTTGGAGGATAAACAGAGTGTTCTCCTCTGAGGAGCTTTGCCTGCATGTCCTGCCCCTCATCTTCACATGCTTCCAACTTCTTAGCAGTCAGGTCTTGGCTCAGACATCTGTCCATTCTAGTAGAGGAAACTTATGCCTGTCACGGACCCATGCTCTGTTTTATTTCCCAGAAATAACCCTTTTGATCTGAATGTAGCTTATTCATGCATTTAGTAATTCATTTATGGTCTGTTTCCACCAACTCCAATGTAAACTCAGTCCTTGGGGCATGGACATCCTACCCTCAGCACCTGGGACAGTGCCACACTGTTGAGGGTTTGAAGGCAGTGAGTCTTTATTGAATGAAATATGGACTTCCAGTAAAGGCACAGACAGAGGGAGAGAAGAAAAGGAGTTAACATTGCATACCACGGATATAGGAGTTAGGAAGAAATCATTTAGGCAGATAGTGAGGGTACTTGGTAAGGCTTTTCTTTTAATGAAAAGTAGCCCCCTAATAATTTTCTTAGAGCAGCCTGTAAAATTGAGTTGCAGACATAGACAAGCAAACTGGAAGCTTGTACCAGTGAGTGCCAGCAGTTGGGTCAATAGGAAAAGGCTACCTGGGACTAGGCATATTCAAAATGGCGGCTCCATCCTCCCTTCTCTTTGCCAGCCTCATGCACAGTAAGGAGCAACAAGATGGGCTGGCCAAGTGGAAAGCCCATTTGCATAATAATAGGGTAGGGTGGCCAGCCTTTCCCATGTGCTTTGTAAATGTCACACCTCATCCAACCAAGCTGTGGTTAAGGGATGGAGCTGTTCTCCTTTCTCTCTTTCTTTCTCTTTTGTCTATTTTAAACCTCAACTCCTAAACCCACTCCTTGTGTGTGTCTGTGTCCTTAATTTTCTTGGTGTGAGATGATGAATGAAGCTGCTCTGCCATGGTGGGAAACAGGGTCTGTAAAGGAGGAAAAACTGGAGCTGGACATGGTTTGGGTGGATTGAGGACAAGGTGAAGGAAGTCATTGTGGGCAGTGAGAGTGCTTTGAGCAAAGACAAGGCAGGGATGCTTGAGGGCTTTTTGATGAGCTTAGTATGCTAGCTAGTCTAGTGTACTGAAGATCTGCTCATTTCAGTAATGAGAGAGAACGCTGGGAAGAAAGTAGAGACTGTATTTGGAGGTTCTAGTATGCCAGGGGGAAAAATCTGAGCCCTAAATCCATGATCAAAGAGGACCCATTAAAAATTTTGATCAGGAGGTGTCACATTAGAGGTGGTGCTTTAGAAAACTCATCTTCTGCATATGCCCTCAATTTTGGCTGTTTTTGATACTTTCTTAATTTAAGTCCTAAAAACCCCTTTACTCCCTACCACTGTCTCTCTTTAAAGATTTTCCCCAAACTCTTCATTCTTGGGGTGTCAGGGCATGCTCAGTGGCACCTCATAATTCAGGCCATTTGACCTAGTATGTGAATATGAAAAATACACATCAGGGGCCTGACAAATGGGCAAGGCAATGTATTTTTGATTTTCATGTGTTTTCATGTATGAATGTGTGTGTCTAAGATTAAATTCTCAGGAGGAAGTCAGTTGTGCTGTTTTATAGCTCTCTGTCAATGATTAATCTGGCCAAATCATAGAGGTATATGCTGTGGGCATTCTTTATTGATGAAACTGCTTTATAGTGCCATCCCTTGAGTATGTAAGTGGCTAAATCTATGCTCTGCAATCCAAGATAGCTTATGCTGAATTATGTTCCACAGTAGATAAATTTGAGTAAGGGTCCATTTTATATAGTTTTTGGGGGAGTGAAGAACTTTTCCATTCATCAGTACTTACAGTGATCAAAGAAACAGCTGTTACCTTTCAAGTTCAGTCCCCTAAAGGGCTGATACAGCCATCACTGCAGTTACTTCACACATATTCCTTTTGTTGGACTTCAGGTGTTCTCATGCAACCAAGATCCTGCTCTTTCATATAACCAAGAGAAAAAGATAATCCTGACAGCCAGGGAGCTTACAGTACGTCACAAATCAATTTTATTAACTTAAACACAAAATTAATGAAGAAAAAATTCTGTACACAATGGTGGACACAGCACACCTTTATACAGTAAGGCCAAGATAAACTTTGTCTTTTCAGACTGCAGAGTACAAAAACATAAAATGAAAAGGTTAAAAAATTGTCAAGTTGTTTGCTTCAAGCAAAAAAGAAAAAAACTCAATTGTGAATTCAAACAATTTGGATAATTCACAAATGACTAATTCTAGCAGCAACCTGCAACTTCAGAAAAGGATGAAATAGCTCTTCAGCTACTTTAGGTCAAAGCTGGTGGGTTTTTTCCCCCTCAGTATAACATTACAGACGATTCATCCTGAGAGTAGTTTCATGACAATGGATTGCATTACATGAGAGAAAATATTGCCCAGCCTATCGGACCCCTTTTGGAGAAACCCTTATGGTGTGGCAAATGTGATCATTTTAATTCCCCAAGTCTATGCCTGTCATTGGAGAGGGACATTGTTTCCACCGTGATGACAATGGCAATGAACTTTCCTCTGGGTGGGAGGAAGACAGAGAAAATACGCATGTAGGGAGTAATGCAAAGTTTGCTGATTTCTGGATTAGCATCATGTGTCTTCCTTTATCTAAAGAAAATGCAGACACGATAATAATTCTGAACACATGAAAACTTTGTTAGTCTCCAATTCATGAACCATTTTATTAATAAAATATATCTACTATCTATATTATTTCTGTGGGAAGAAGCATTTGAATAATTATTTTATCCAAGTAGTTACATATAATACATTAGTGTGGAAATGAAAAAGTGAGGTGGTAGGAGAACTTATTTTTTTTTTCAAATTGTTTATGAAACTGCTGTGTTATTTCATCAAGGCCCTCAGAAAAACTGATGGGGGAAAATTTAGAAAACAAAATCCTTACTGACACTTGACATCCATGCTTTTGGTCTTGACAACATTTATCTAAAAAAAATGTATTATCTACATATTTATACCCAGCACTTAGATAAGCCACGGCACATGAGTTTGTGCACATGCTGCCTCATGCTTCACTATCAAGGCATTGCTACCTTTCAATATCATTTCCCTAAACAATATGTAAAAGAATCATCTATTATTACAAATTTACACCAAAAATTCTTTCTGTACACGATTGTCTCAGTGATGTACATATTATACGTTTAAATTAGACATACTTAAAACTATGCGATGCACTAAAATTCAAAGTACTGTACTTGCCATGTTGTGATGCAAAGGCCTTGAATCACTTATTTCTAATGCTATTGTCTCTTCAATTATTTAATGTCAAAAGAGTCTGGCAGGCGAATTGTGGGGTATGTGAATTATACCTCAATAAAGCTGTTTTTTTTTTTTTTTAAAGTCTGTTCATAAATAAGTAGAGATGTACAGATTACCCTGGGTATGAGACACCAAAAAGTAAACCTTCTTTACAAGAAAATTTCTCCACTGATATTCAGGAAACACATTTCAGTCTGTTGTGCAATCAGGTTTGCTGTACTGGAGAAGCTGTTCACATCACATTGAAAATGCTAACAATTGAAGCGTTTGCAGGTCCTCTCTTCACAGGTTTGAACCGTGTAGTTAATGTGGCAGACACATTACACTATGCTAGAACATTCTCATGGCTTTTCGTTGGATTCACAGTACCAGAGTCAACAGCTGTTCTGAAGAAATAGACGTGGTCCTCCATTCACCACAAGGGCAGAGGTCAAGACCGACAGCAGCTGCGCATCAGCAGGCAGAAATCGCTAAATTTGGGAGGCCGTTGCTGATGCGAGACTGGGGCCTGCTGGATCTGTCCCTGGTTACAGAACAGCTGTGCGGTGTCAAAGTGCTGAGTGTTGTTACAGGTACTCCAGTTCCAAGGCGTGGTGCAGGGCCATGAGGTCCGAGTGGCTGGAGATCCTCCAGAAGGGCATCGCGTGCTGCAGGAGGGACACACAGACACGTGAGGACAGAGCACCCAGTGCCAGCCCTGCTGGCTCCTTTGGAAATCTACTTCCATGCTCACCCCCATTTTCAATATCATGGAAAATGCCAGCTAACATCTTAGCATCACATCTGTTTACAATAAAAATTCAAACCTTGGGTAAGAATACTGGACTGAGTTTTAAAATGTAATCTAGAGTCTGTTTCTTTAAAGAAGGGGATGGATATTTCCTAACTGGATCTACACTGTGACTTGAATGCCAATTCCAAGCTTTAAATAAAAGAATGTTGCCAAATACAGCAGCTTTTCAAAATACATATCCAGTGGGGTTTTCATGATGAAAGTTTAAAAAGCTTGTACTTTATGAGTTTAAGCAGTTTTCTTTAGTTAGTAGTACTTTACATTTTCTCTAACTTGATTGTGGCTCATATATGAAGCAACTTTTTTCCGTTTATTTTCTTCAGTTCTTTACATTGGCTTTAAAATGGCTTTATCATATGGAAAAAATTTTAAATGAATATCTAAAGTTGTTTTTTGTTTTGTTTTGGTTTTTGTAGTTGTTGTTTATACCTCAATTTAAAAATCTCGTTTCAGTAATGGCAATGTTGTGAAGCACGTGAACAAACCAAAGACAAGAAAAACAGGAAGAAACCAGAAGTTACATCATTCATGAAGGGTGAAAATGTGATGAACTTTTATTGCCCCAAAGCACTATAGTAAGTATTAATGCATCAGTAAAACCTTTTGAAGAGAAAGATAATCGCCACCTTCCAGAGGACAAAATTTTGTTTACCTTAAAGCCTAGTATTCTTATGCAAAAAATTAATGTGGAGCCTGGAGTATAATCTGCAATTATAGTTCCAAGAAATCTGAAAAAAATTTCAGACTAATAGAATTTCACATAGAAGCAAACAGAAATGAGGTTTTTTTTTTTTTTTTTAAATGTGTAGGTAACAGTGGAAGCCATTAACCATTTTGATATATAGATCACATAGCTGCTACATACTGGGATACAAACTATTACTTATTAATAATGTATTTGTCTCAGATTATCTTTTGAAAACACATACCACATTCCAATATTAGATGCAGACCTTTCTGGACACAAGGCTATTTTGGAATATCTGTATATATTTGTTATTGAGTGATAACGGAATAGTCTAAAAATGAGTACTAAATAATTTATTTTTAGGAGGATGCTCCACTTGGCAACTTCACACTGTAAGATGCAGCAATGTACATTCATTTAGAAAGAGCACACTGTGCCAGGGGTAGAAGATCCAGAGATGCATATGTTGCTGGCTCACCCTCTCTCACAGTCTGAGTAGCAAAAATGCACAACAATCATCAGTGTTCATCTGTGTCTTGTAGGAGAAGAGCAATTATCTTTGTCTAAGAAACTGGGAAAATATCTGAAAAAAGGTGATAGTTGAGCTAGGTATGAAGGATTAACATTCAGATGGCGGTGTGTGTTGGAGAATAGAAAATAATGGAGAAATTCATTGTTGGCATACTGGCTGGGTATGAGAGAAAGACTTGGTTGGTTACATGAGCGGCTGCAGGAGCCAGCTGATGCAGGGCCTAGTAAGCCCTGCTAAGGGGTTTATCTGTAATAATCTCCCAATAGTTATGATTTATTGGATATTGGGTTAGGCACTATGCTAAGCAACTCGGAGAGACAGAGGTATTACTATTACTATTGTGTTAGTTAAAAAACAAAACCCTGAGGCTTAGTGATGGAACAGAGAGGTTTAAATAATAGCTGGTAAGGAGTGAAGCCAAAATCCATACCAGGTGTCACTTTGATGCTCATATGCTGTAATGCCTTCTACCTGTTTTCTGTGGGCGTTTTATTCAGCTGTGTAAATTATCAGCACCTTATCAGCACCATAGCACAGGTTCAATCTCTCTCTCTTTTTCTTTCTTTCTCTCTCTCTGCCCCCATCCACTCTCTGTGGGGTTACAGACACTGGAAAAGAGTGACTATGATTCATAGATCTTGGTTAGAAAAATGTTTGATCAGTTATAGATTTCCTCCTTATTAGAAGGGAAATTCATGTTGTAAAACATAGAACCATAAAAGGAAATACAAATAATTTATTATCCTACTACACAAAGCTAACCATGATAAACATTTCTTTAAATTTTCATACATGTACACACTCAAACACACTTGAAATGTCTATACAGTATGTACCATTCAACATCCTACTAATTTTACTAATCTCAAATCCATTTAAGACACATTTTAAAAGAAAACTTATTTTAAAAGTGTTCAAGTATTCAACTGTGCAGTGTTTATATTTAACCACCTACTTGCTACCTATTTTATATCCTCTATTTCTAATTGTTTTTCTCATAAAAACATAAAAATATTTGTGCAAAGTGGAATGGTTTTTTTCAGAGCAGGTTCAAATTCTTTTGCATGTCAACTGTCTGAGGTTCCATATGTTCCCCATAGACAAGTTCTCTGCATATACAATCATTAACAATGCAAATCTGAAAACGATTGTTGCAATCAGAACCCTGCACTGAAGAATGCCATGAATCTCACAGAAATTGAAAAGGAAACTGAAAAAATTTCTTTGGTACATAAAGTATAAAGTGGGGATTTAATTCCATAGTAAACAAAGGACTGGTTCAATGGGTATGAGTCTCATCTGTACATGGGAATGGGTTGATGTCGCCTAGAGAACACGTGTTTTTCTTTTAAACTATACTCAACACTATCTGGAAAAGTGGGATGATCCACAAACAGCCTTAAGTTGGTTTGTTTACTGGCACTAAAATACAAATGGCTTTAGTCTTCCTGTATAGAGGATTAATAAGAACCACCTGGTCAAGCAGCATTCTGAAATGAGGTCAAAGAATTAAACTTCCTGTAGTATATTACAGACAACTCATCACAGTGCAGTGGGGATGGGACATTCATTTGGGTGGAAGTGCCAAAGATTCTACCATGAAAACTTTGCAAATCTTAGGCAGTGCATGAAAGAGAACTGGAGGACTCTGGGGAGGATAGCAACTCTGTCCTCTCCACTCTTTCATGACATGCAGGGTAGTGATGTCAGCTGTTGTTAGCAGTTGCATTCTCACAAAAACAGTGAACTTAAGAAATGCACAATTTATATTAAGTGAATGACTATAAGACAACTGAGTCTAGAGGAGAGGATAATGTCAAACTCCTGTTGACAATCAGAGCTAATATTGCACGATAATATTTTCCCTAAGTACGTACTGATGTGAAGACTTTATGAATTTATAAAAACTCAGGACAAGTGGGTACAAAGTAAACTATTTTTTTTTCTTGCATCAATGTTTAGCCACTAGGACATACACTTCTTACATGAAATCAGAAAGAGCGGCAAAAGAGGAAAAGAAAAACATATGCTAGAATGAGAAGACTTAGGTTATATTCTTGACTTTGACATTAGCTATGTGACCTTCAATTATGGCACAGTCTGCCTGAAGCCCTAGTTTCTTTATAACATGAGGGTTTAGGGAAAATGACTCAGGGTTGCTTCTAGGTCAAATAAAGTCTGTGACTTTATTATCAAAACAGAGTCTGTTACCTGCATAGCACCATAGCTACAGTAGATATGTAATACACACAAGACACATATCCCCAGTGCCAAGAGCTGTCCAGCAGGGAAAATGTATCAGATGACACAATGATAAATTCAGAGAGAAGAGAGCTCAGTTGTAACCTGGAAGAGGGTAAGTTAAGCTTGAGCTGAATTTGAAGAATGGGAGAAGTTGGAGAGGGGGAAGTAGATAAGGCTCCCAGTTAGGTGAAGTAATTCACCTAGTGAGGATGGGGCTGGACTGGTATGTAAAATTATAGAGATATTAAGGAGGTTTTTCACTGTAGCAGCACTTGGAATATCTAAGGAGCTTAGGCTTTTATCTTGTAAATGGAAGGGGTGAGAGGCTAACACTTCTTCAGTGTCAAGAGACACAAAATGGTGGGTATTTTAAGCAATTCAGGGTAGCAGTGAGGAAAGGATGGACTAAAGATGTTTCTGGCTAGTAGCAAAGAAACTAGGTAGAATTACTGAGGAAATGGAGTGAGTGTAATAAATGCAAGACATATTGTGAAGAGAGTTCATGTGATTCAGTGGTGGGTGGGAAACAAACCCCAAATCATGTCTGAGTGGGCATGATTAGTTTAGGACAGCTGAATTCATTTGCTTGTATTAAGACATTCGGATGGGTAGAACATGAGATACTTAACAGGAGATACTCTCCCAGGTAGATGAAGCCCTGGGAATAGAAACAGAGCTACCCACAAATCTTAACAAAAATGACAGCTGGAACTGTAGCATGCATATGGTTAGTTTAACAAGATTAGGTATATATTGAGAGAAATGGGTATCAAAGCCTAAAATTTAGCACATGCTTTTGGATCTCCAGAACTGAAATATTGCCTAATGAGAAAACAATGGCACATCCTTCTTGTTCCTCTGGCCTGCTGGAGCAACTTTAAAAATCTCCTTCCTCCATCTTTTCTCATCTGATATTTAGCATTTATACCTTCAGACCACATATAATATCAATCATATAAAAAGCTGGATATGTGGATACATATATGTAAATAGAACTTTTGCTGAATTATTAAAAATGTGTTCATAGTAATGTTTCAAAAATTTTAAAGCACATACCCTCTGACTTAAGTATTGCACTTTTAGGAATTTATTCTACAGATGCACTTGCACATGAGTGAACTGTAGAACTGTTTGCAATAATACTGGAAATCACCTAAATGTTCAGCCCCAGGACTGGTTAAATCCACAAAATGGAATATCGATGTGGTCATTTAAAACATTAGAGATGCAAAACTTCATGTACTGTTATGGAATATCTGCCAGGATAGATTAAGTGAAAAAGCAGGTAGGAAAAAAAGTATATACTTCTCACTTGTGTTAAAAAATATTTATCTGTGTTTTCACATGCACATGTCATATTTAGAAAGTTTCGCAGATGGAGTTACACTTTTCAAGTTGTAAAGTTATCAAGGGAGAACTTATTATGAAACTTACTGTACAACATTGCTCTTTTATTTGTGTAACTGTGTAACTCCTTCTCCTCTAGACATAAGTATGCTCTTTAAGGATGAAGATGAAATCCAATTCAAAACTTGGCATACAGTAAGTGATTAACTATAAATGAATTTATGACTTTACAAAAATAACACTGTAGTTGGGTGTTTATAACCTTGATGTCCCACTTAAACTAAAAACAAAAATTGATTTACAAATGTTATTTTATAAAAAGTAGCTTGTATTTTTCTCCTTAGTAAGCTTGAAATCAGGCATTATTTATCAGGTTCTCAGCTTCATCTTAGAATGTACATATAAAATGAACATCTAATGAAGCCTTTGTCATTGTGTAGAATAATGGATGCTTGCCATTTTTTCTCCCTTTGCCATTGACAAGAGATTTACTCTAAGTAGTTCTCTGAAAATAATTTAGCAAGGCTACTTTTACTGCTCTAGAAATGAAAACTAGGTGTCAAGGTACAGGAGACTATTACCTACTTTATTTTTTAAAAATAATCGTACCTATGTCTAATCATTTTCTTTCAAGCCATGTTGCATTAGAGAAACAAATAATTTTATGGAAAAAAGAACAACTGGTAGATTTTGACAACAAAAGACATATGTCAAAGGACGACTGCCATAGGTAGAGACTTCCCGCAATCTTTCTGGGAACAAGGACACACTCACACAAAACTCTTGCAAGAGATCCTTTTAAAATGAGGTTCTTTTATAAAACAAAGGTATTGCTAACTTTTTCTCTTTGAAGGGGGTACTTTTTATGATACAAATTATAGAGCTAGATTAAATTACTGATGAAAGGCCTTGGACTACATTGGCTAAGAGAATAAGGATGACAGAATAGATTTCAGTTGACCAGTAACAAAATGGGCAACTAGCAGATTTACTTACTGGGTTTTGTTTCCGTGCTTTAAAAAAAAGTAACAATCTCTAGCAAAAGAACATTATTTAGGGAGATAACAGATCTCTACACGGAAAAGAGGAGCATGCCGTATTAGAGTTTGAAGGACACAGGAAACTAAGAGAGACAAGCTAAATAGTTAAAATCAATTCTGAAGCAATGTAAAATGTTTGGATTTAGCAGACATATAGTGCTCCTATGTGCAGAACTTCACTGGTTTGCTATAAACTTTATTTAATAAACCGCTCGGGCTAAAGCATATATCAGAATTAATTATGTGTTTTTAAAATTTAATCATGAATGCAAAATTAGGGGAAAGACGACACTTATATAGTTATAGCTAACTCCTGAAAAGAATTGTGTTTTACTCTAATAATTTTTTGAACAACCATGTAGATTCTTTTTTGTAAGTCATATTTATTTAAGATACATAAATGTAGTTCTTATAGTTTGAAGACACTTTTTTTTTTTTAAAACAGGGTCTCACTCTGTCGCCCAGGCTGGAGTGCAGTGGTGCCATCACAGCTCTCTGCAGCTTTGACCTCTGAGGCTCAGGTAATTCTCACACCACAGCCTCTCAAGCAGCTAGGACTACAGACAGCACCACTATGCTGGGCTAATTTGTGTATTTTTTGTAGAAACAGGTTTCACCATGTTGCCTAAGCTGATCTCAAACTCCTGGGCTCAAGCGAGCCACCAGCCTCAGCCTCCCAAACTGTTGAGTTTACAAGTGTGAGCCACCACTCTCAGCCTGCAGAAACTTTTTGCTAAATCTCACAGTCAGAGGAAATAACTGAGCTCAAATCCTAGTTTGGCTACTTTCTAGCTGTGTGATTTTGGCCAAATTATTCACCCTTACAGTGTCTCAGTTTTCTCATCTGTAAAATGGGTCTAAGGATTCCTTCATAGGATTATGAGGATTTAATGAGAAAAATGGATAGCAAGGTCTAAAAGAGGAACTGGGATATAATAAGGACTTTATAATTGGTAACATTTTATTTTATATTTTTTTCTTTGGGACAAGATCTCATTCTGTCATCCTAGCTGGAATGCAGTGGCATGATTTTGGCTAACTGCAGCCTTGACCTTCCGAGGTGAGGGGGTCTTCCCACCTCAGCCTCTTGAGTAGCTGGGACTATAGGCACCCACGATCATGCCCGGCTAATATTTGTATCTTTTATAAAGACAGAGATTTGCCATGTAGTCCCAGCTGGTCTTAAACTCCTGAGCTGAAGTCTACCCACTCTGGCCTCTCAAAGTGCTGGGATTACAGGCGTGAGGCTGGCCTAGGTAGCAATTTTTGTTACTACTGTTATTAGTCCTTCTACAGTATAGAAAGCCATCTCTTAGTTTCTTTAGCTTGAGTTTTTATATGTAGTTTTAAAAATGAGATTGTGGAACTGTAGAGTGCTTCTCCTCCTAAATTATTTCCATAGGTTCAACATTAAGTATTCTCTACTTCTATGTATCACTCTACTTTAAAGATACTCATTAAATTTTCTGAATGATTAGATCCTTGTCCCTTAACTCATATAAAAGGACAGCTATTTATGTACTAGGTAACCTAAAAAGGCTAGAAAAATTATTCAATAGAGTTAGAAAACAAGAAAGGAATGTTCAACTTGTCACTCTAAGTGGTAAACTGAGATTAGAAATCTGAACACTGTGTAGAATTTGTCCATTTTATACACACAGGCAGGTCTCAAGGTACAGAGTGGTTTCCAACATATATTTTTGGGCCCTTATCACATACAGTCATCCACGAAATAAAAATGGAAAGCTGGGAGGACTCATTCAGTAAAAAAAATTCAGAGCATGTTTTCTGCAAGTATAGCTGCCTAATTTATTTTGTGTGTGTGTGACCTATATTTTTAAAGACATGTCCAAAGATAAACAGTAGAAACAATCTTAACTGCTTTTCAAAGACAGCAAATACTCTATTCCTATTAATACTTTCAATTCTAATATCATACCAAGAATACCTTTACTTTTTTTCCTGTTATATTCATTGAGTCAAACTTCTAAGAATTATGCTTATCAGAAAGGTTTAGGAAGGGACCCACTCACAGAAATCTTGATAAGATTCAAAGGATTTCATTTGTTTCTTGCATTTTAAGGAATCACTTTCATAGACATCCTTCTCTGCCTACCACAAGCTAGAAAGCCACATTTTGGTAACCTTTGATATTAAACTTTCTGGTGGATACCAGAGGGAGAAAGACCAGGCTGGAGACGGATTTACACCTTGGCCTAGGGCCACACTGCTCAGAGGGGCAAATCTGTTCCATCCTTGCCCTGCTGGCCACTGGGAGGGTCCTGAATAGGAATGGCTTGGAAATTCCAGGGCCTTTACTGGAAAGCAGACTTGAGTCTGGATCTCAGAAAACGTTTTCATTAACTCTCCAGGAGTGTGTTTGGGGAATTCTGACTTAGTCTGGGAAAGATTTTATTTTATAAAGACAGCTCGGAGGGGTAACAGAGGTACCCAGTGACACTAGTGGTTAGTCATCGGTGAAGTGGGAAGGTTAGAACTACTGCTTAAATGGCAAATGCTGCTTCAGATTGAGCATGAGGAGACCTGAAGCATGTGTGCATTTCCACCAGCACCAGCCACACTCAAGCAAATTTGTTACAGGGATGCATTCTGTATCTATGGGTATCTATGAAATTATCTACTTGTAAAATTAGGGTCAGTGATTATGCTATTAGTGGGACTCGGAGGCATTGAAGGTAAACCAGGCCATCTTTAGAGCCTGTAAGAAGGATGGCCATGTATCGTACTTAGGCTCAGTGCTGCATCTATAATCTGGTGACTTTATATGCTATTTCTGTATATGCTGGAATATTCCAGAAGAGCTGAAATACTGTATCATTTATGGAAATACACATGGATTCCTATGAGTGAGTATGTAAGGAAGGGAATAGAAAATTATGCTGTTGGTTAACCCCATAAAATATTTAATATCCTTAAATTCAAGAAACATTTAGAGTACAACTATGTAAAGATTTAGGGAGTTATAAAAATTTTGAAGACAGTCTCAAACAACAAACCAAGCAAAATAAGATTCCTGAATCTGTGGAGCTCACATTTTTTTTTTTCTTGCTGAAACAGGCACATAAACAACAACAGCTGCCATTTTTGGTGCACTTTATACATATCAAGCTCTATGTTATGGGAGTTACATACCTTACCTAAATCCATTCCTCAAAATAACCCAATGAGGTAAGTACTATTACCATCTGCATTTATAGACAAGGAAAGGGAAACAGAGGGTTAAGAATTTGTTCAATATCACAGGAAGGGTAAGTGGCAGGGCTATAATTCAAAAACCCATGCTGTCTGGCTCAAGAATCCAAGCTATTTACTCACTACAGCACCTTCAGTTAAAATATAAGGGAGCATGACTATATTTGATCTCTTAAAAACAGAATAGGCCTGTAATCCCAGCACTTTGGGAGGCCGAGGCGGGTGGATCACAAGGTCAAGAGATCGAGACCATCCTGGTCAACACGGTGAAACCCCGTCTCTACTAAAAATACAAAAAAATTAGCTGGGCATGGTGGCGCATGCCTGTAATCCCAGCTACTCAGGAGGCTGAGGCAGGAGAATTGCCTGAACCCAGTAGATGGAGGTTGCGGTGAGCCGAGATCGCGCCATTGCACTCCAGCCTGGGTAACAAGAGCGAAACTCCGTCTCAAAAAAAAAAAAAAAAAAAAAAAAAAAACAGAATAGAAAAGGTAGTACATGAATTGAATTTTGCAAATGAGTAAGACAATGACAGAAATGAATATTAGGGAGAAGATCATTCCAAGGAGAGGCAACAGCAAGGAAAAGCTGTTGGGAATGGTCAAGGAAAGCTGAGTGTACTGATATGACTACAGTGTAAGGTACCAGAGGGAGACAGATCAGAAAGGCAGCTTGTGGAGACACTTGAGTGCCAGGCTAAGGAAGGTGGTCCTTAGCTTTAAAAAATGCAATGAGAGGCACAAGAAAGCTTTTGCTCAGAGAAATGATAGAATTACACCTGCAGAGATTCAGAAGAATATAATAAAGTGCAATGGGCAAAGCAGGAGCCAAGAGATTTATATAGTTGGGTCCATTCCCTTCCCACTGCCCTGAGAGAAACAGGTAGGATCTCATGATAAAAAGAAGATATAGAGTCCTCTGGGGAAGAAGATAGTTTGATCTTCCAAGCCAGCTTTGACTAACTGGTAAGAGACTTTTTGAAAGATGTTTGAAAGGTTCTTAGTCTGTGTCCAGGCTCAGGTAACAAGGTTTCAACCACCTGGCATGTCTGCCATGGAAACAGAGAAGATCCTGCTGGCACATGTGTTATCTCTGCTCTAGATGACAGCTACGCTTCAGTTCTGCTCCCTAAGTCTCCCTTCTGTGAACACCACCTGTGGCCCTTGAGCTTGTGCACACTGCTATTCAGAAGGATCAGTCCATATTTATTGAAGGCTTCTTTACCCTGTTCAGTGCTTATAGTGCTGCACATACTCATTGTATGTTTCACAGAAATGGAACCTGCTTAAATGATGCAGTTAGGAGAATCTTAAGGACTAAAAAAATAAATGAGACAAGATTCATCATCTAGGAACACTCACCTTTTTTGCTCCTTGTTCTTCTTCTACACCATCTCCTATAACAACATACACCACTTTTCTTCCAAACCTTTGAATTATCCTCTCAAAACAGCTTTCTTTTCCTAATGAACAAAAGTAGATCATAGAAAATGTGAAGTTTGAGTAACCTAATGTGACCGTGCTTGAACTTTTTGTATAACATGCTTTCTTCATGCTTTGATTCGACTGTCCCCCCTGTGTATCTAAAAGGAGGGATTTTATGCCCCTTGGGTTGTATGTGCCACAGCACAATCAATTACAAAGTAAATTAATCAGCAGTATTGTGTCCTGTCCTTTGGAAACTGATTAAATCCTCTTTTCCAATGGATTCATTTATTAAAAAGTGGGACCTAGTCAATCACACCATTGCAATTGGGGGAGAAAAGTACTGCTTTTCAGTAGGACTTTTTTCCCCCTCAAAAGCTGAGATCAAACATAGGCAATTCTAGTAACATATTTTAACCTGATTTAAGAAAGGTGTTGTAATATATCAAACTTTGAAAATATCTGATCCAAAGACTATTGATAATGATTAAAAAAAAAAACTGGATTTGTTTTTGTTCTAGCAAGAAAACACCAACACTGGAATTAGCTTATTCTTTCATTTTCAGGTTGAATTAAAGACCCTGAAAGCCTGATGCAGTCTTGTAAAACTCTTTCCAAAATAAATGTCAGGTAATTTGAGGTACTACAGCAAGATGGTGCCTGCCCTACCCAGGCATCTAATGTTCAATGAAGCACTTTCCTGGAGGAAAAGTGGAATAAAGGTAATAGAATACCCTTATCTGTCTATTATCTTTCCCATGCCATGACTTAGTTTGGGCTCCTGTGGCGGCTACACTGTCAGCACATCCCCTGAGTTAATGCAAGCATTGTTTCTTCTCAGAGAAGAAACTGGTGTTCCAAGTCTTGGGCTGCCAATAGGGTCATTTTAATGGACAATGGGACAGTTTATAGTTTTCAAATGTGAATGGCTGAGCGAGCCTGCACCTCTTTCAAATAAGGATCAGATATACACATGAACAAATTGCTTGTTTGCTTAAACAAATGTCTGCTTTATATTTGTATTTTGCACTAAAATCTCTAGTTTGCATCTGACACAATAAAATGGAGCTAGCCTTATTCAAAGGATGCAATTTCAATGCCTCTTTAGTTGTCCACTAAACTGTGAAATATTAAATCACTTTAAAAAACAAATACAAATTATAGTGCTCACTGCAAAAAATATACAACCCCAAACTTAGATGTCATGAAACCTTTTTCCCTCCTTACGGAAAAATGCTTATGTGTTTTTGCAAAGTTTCCCTCTTGTGGATAAAGGAAGGTAAATTCAATGTTATTTAAAGGTGAAGGTGTGGTAAACAAAATCCTTGCCTATATACTATCTCCTACTGGGTTCATTGCAAATTTGTGGTCATGTAGAAATTTTTCACAACTTAATTCTAAAATCTACAAAAATGAAGCTTAGATTTTAGAAGTTAACCATTAGTTTTATGTGAAGTATTCATTTTGATGAGTCCATTTTGTCATCATAGCTCTGCCAACTGGTCCACCAGCCATCTCCTATGACTGTAGCATTTTGCCTACAATAAAAATTGCTGGGGCCAGGTGCAGTGGCTCATGCCTGTAATACCAGCAATTTGAAAGGTCAAAGCAGATCACCTGAGGTCAGGAGTTTGAGACCAGCCTGGCCAACATGGAGAAACCCCAACTCTACTAAAACTACAAAAATTAGCCGAGCGTGGTGGTGTGTGCCTATAATCCCAGCTATTTGAGGAGGCTGAGGCAGGAGAATCACTTGAACCCAGGAGGCAGAGATTGCAGTGGGCTGAGATTGTGCCACTGCTCTCCAGCCTGGGTAACAGAATGAAACCATGTCAAAAAACAAAAGCAAAAAAGTTACTGGGTTTTCTGCATTGATACCCACATCTATCTTATTTCATGGTGAAATCCTACTTCTACCACCACATATTTTTTATTCTAATTATTATTTTGTATTGAAAAAATTAAAGGCTAATATTTTAAACAAAATTCCCATTTAAAAAATGCTTACCAGATTGTAATTTCCTATTATATTACCATTTTTAAATTTCTTGGAATTAAACTTCTATGCACATGCTGTATAACACACTACTTGTACTTTCTTTCTGAGAAGCTAAGCTCTACCCACTTCTGTACTATGTGCTGGTAAACCTTTTCCACAATCCCTGTTTACAAAATACAATATAATTATAATTCCTCTTTATTGATATCGATGAATATAGAATTAACATGTGACTTAAACTGTACGCTTCTTTGGTTTTAATGTACTACCAGGAATTTTATCCCATTTGATATATTTTTTTTTTCTTTTTAACAGGTATTTTCCAACGATTTGTTCTTGGCCTTTCTTGGAAAGAGTAGTCATTCTCAAACTCCAGCTATGTATTTCTAACTTGAAAGGTTACCCTGGATGAATCCCATCAGCATCCTGCTGTGTGTGTCCATGGTGCTTCCTTTCTGCCATTAATTGAAGACTCCATCAGATCTCTTCCAACTCAACACTGATGAAAACTAATAGTTAACTTCTAAAATCAGCTGATTTCCCCATCAGTTAATTGTGCCATTATTGACTCAGGTGTCTAAAAGAAATCTTGTGTCAGCCTTCTTCAAAATCAATGGCCATTTATTCAGCCATTCATTCAATAAGCATTTATTGAATACCTAATTTGTACTGGGTGTTGCAGCAACTATGATGAGCAAGAGAGACAAACCCAGTCCTCAAGAATATTACAGTATGGTGGGGAAGTCATACTATTAAGAAATTATAAAAGTAATTCTTTAGTAATCATGTAATAAATCATTTGAAGGAGAAAGGAAGTGTAAAAGTGCAGGCAGATGGAAGTTAGACCTATAAGGATTCCATTTTTGGCCCTTTTGATTTTATGGAGTTGAGCAGCCAAAGACAGGCTTCTTGCCACCTGCTAGAATGCTCATACCCCTTCCCCTGGACTAAAACAGCATTCATCTCCTTACGGTGACATACAAGGCCATTTCTGCCTAGACCCAAGTATACCTTTCCAGCTTTGGCTTTTAATGAGCACAGCACACTAGCTATCCAGGGCCACTCAGAAGTCCCTCAGCAGGGGACACAATTTCTTTGTCCCTTTGCATTGTTGTCACTAGTCCATCTACCTGGTGAAGTCTTACTTGCTCTACTATACCCAGCTCAAATGTCACTCCTTCCCTTTAGCTTTCACAGACACTTGCCTCAGCCTCTTCCTGGGTGGGAGTGAATGCTTCCTCAGCCATGTGAACATTCAAGCACTTAGCAGTAGGACCCTCTGGGATACAGCAAGGAGTCTAGACCTTGGAATCAGAGAGACATGAAGCTTGACCCTTGGGTTTGTGAGCTACTGACTGCAACAATTTAAGTCTCTGAGCTTTAGTTATAAAGATTGGCTTTAAATGTAAAATGCTTAGTAACGTTTGGGGTATCCAGTAGACAACTAAAAAAGGCTCATTTGCATACTCTTGTAACTAATTGCTTCCCCTGAGAACAAGAGTCATGTATTTTTTTATCCCTATGTTGATTCTGCCTTGATTTATATTCTAAATAAATTCCTAAGTATTTTTCCTCCCAACTGTTTCTTTCATGCCAGAAGCTTTTTAATATCCACAATAAAAATGGAAACTCAAATGATTATACATATTGAATTAAAAAACAAACATTTCTAGTAATAATAAATCTGTTATTAGAGTTGTTTCATTTCTACTTTGTATAATTCTATATTGTTGTTTGTGTTAGCTTAGAAAATCAGATATTTTTGTTAATGTTGCCTAAAAGGATTTAAGCATGATAATCCAGAATCTATACTGTTACTCTACCTAAAATGCCTTGTTTTTAACATTAGCCAGTAAATTAAAATTTTATGACATCAGCTACATGGATTATGCTGTATGTCTCTCTTATGTCTAAATCCAGTTTGACAAATTGGTTAAATTATTCTATTTTTTTGACCTATGTAGCATTCTGGGAAAATAAGTTTCATTTATTGCTTTTCTTTTTTATTATCCTGAAGGAAAAGAGGTGATTGCTATAAAGAAAAAAAAAAAGCAGCTCACCTATTTTAGTTGCACTGTAAATATTTTCTATTGGAAATACAATTCCTAATCCATACAGCAGGACTTTCGCCAATGCTGGGATGAGCTGAGTAGTTGTTACTAAAATATTCACACAGTTTGTCCTATGACAACAAAAAGAGAAAAAAAAGACTTGAAAAATAAATCTCCAAAATGAACAAGCACGAGCAGTGCCCATTTCCTGGCAAAGGTCCAACAGAGCCTCACCGGGAGTGAATGAGCGAGAGTGCTTTCAGGGCCAGCGTCAACCAGGAATCGGTCAAGGCTTCAATTTCAGCCCTCAACTGCAGCCAGGCTTCCCTCTTAGCTGGACCAAGCAGACCTGAGGATTAAAAGCACATGATGAACTACTTCCTTACCAACATATTTCTTTGACTTTATAAATAAAAAACATTTAAAGAGTACTATGAATACCAATCTCAAGCTTTATAATATACAAAGCATCTTTCACATAGTATTCAATCAAAGTATTTATTTGGTCAAAAAGCTCTTCTTTTTGGGGAACCTACCCTCTCCCATTCCTCTCACTGTAGTTTGGGCAGAGCTGACTCTACCTTCTGGCTCCCAGGGTGGGTGTTCCCCATTTGCTTGGCCACTGGAAGCCCGTCTTGGAACTTTTGCTAAATCTATTGAAAAGATCTACCCCCCACCACCCCCCATAAAGGTGACAAACTACTGGTAGAGTATAAAGCTGGATCTACTGGTGGTCACTTTGCCACCTCTTGGGAGGGACTGACTTAAAAGGAGCTTACCCAAAGGAAAGCACAGGCTTCCCTGACAGCATCATTTGAGCATCTGGATATAGCCCTGCAGGAAACCAACCTCACTCCTGAACATTTTATGCTAAAGCCATTATGAACCAAAGTCAAAAGATTCAAACTAATCCAAGTATTTAGCTGGTAAAGATTTACAACCCATCTTGTGATTTGGACAGAGGTCACTAATTCTTCGAAGGTTGCTAATCCTTCCTTGAAAGACAACTGAATGTCAGAGAGGTCAAGAAACTTGCCCCAGGTCATATCACAAGGTAACAGACAGGACTAGAATAGCCAGGGCAGCTGGCTCCAGTCCAAAATTTCTGTCACTAAATCACAGCAGAGTAATGGCCAGTGAGATGAAACTGCCCTAAAAAAAAAAAAAAAGCTATTCAAAGCAGTGTGACACAAAAGTGTACAGTGTACAGTACTTTTGGAATTGTATCTAGACTGCCTTAACTCGCTGAGATACTGGTGGTAATCACTTGCCTCCAACATTATTTTTGTAGGTGTTGTAGATCTCTTTTACCCGTCTGTAGCGGAAGGCCAACTTTCTCATCCAGTCCACGCCGCCCCGTACACCAGTTGCCAAGCATAAATTAGCACTGGTTGCTGCAGCAGGAAAGCCATCTGTTCCAAAGTTATATGTGCTATTTAGATGCAAGAAAAGCCCAAGGTTAACCGAACAGAAAGTTCATCTTAATTAGGTACGCAATTAAACTATAAAAGATCACTTCACGTTCAAGGCTGCTCACCTTAGGTCCTGTCCGTTATCATCTGAAGAAACATCATCTATATGGACTTGGTCACATTCCTAAAATGCAATTAAAATGATACATGTCAATTTTTTAAGAACACCTAAATTTTTGTTTTTGAAAAACCATACATAGCTATTTTTAAAAGCACCTTAACTGGAGTGTTTTGTTGTTTTTTTGTTTGTTTGTTTTTTAAACTATGTCAATCAGTAGGTGGCAGTCTTGTAAAATTGACATTTTTACCTACTTAGGGTCCTCTCCTATAAGAAAGAAGCAATGTGGTTAAGGACTACTGCTATTCAGCTTCAGAAAACACATTTTTGTGTTTAGAAAGGAAAGTGATTGAAAACAATTAGCATATGTGTTCCATAAACCTCAGGTACCTTAAGCCATCGTGCTGCTCAGAGCTGATTCACTCAGTGCCTAAGCATAACTGAAACCAGACACTTTGGTAAATGTAACATGCTAGAAAAATTAAACCTGATGCTAACTGCCAATGAAATTATGACCTCTGATTGCTGTTGAGCCACACACCAACACAGCCCGAGGCCAGTGTGCTGAGGAGCCCAGACAAAAAAAAAAATCTGTTACTGGTTTCCATTTATTTGAGAGATCTGAGTTTTCTTCTGTGTGTGTGTGTGTGTGTGTGTGTGTGTGTGTGTGTACACATGTGCAGGATAAAAACCATGAGACTTCAAAACCTAAATAAAAATAATCAAACCATATGCTTTTTTACTGTTTTTTAAATTACATTTTTAGTGTTATTTTTAGCTGTTTTACTATTACATAGTCACCTTATGTATTGGATTTATATTATGGCATAATGTTATTTAGAACAGACCTGATGTTTAAATCCCAAACTGAGTAAGACCTGATGTTTAAATTCCAAACTGAGTAAACTATTTAGAATAGGAAGCCATGCTTATGGGCTAAAGCACTATTGGACCCAGTTAACATTTCTGTACCTGTTTGCAGACATATTGGAGCACCCATATATCCTACCACCATATCCCCAGATGAATTGTGGGAAGAACAGGCACTCGATAAAAATTTGTTGAATGAATGAAAGCATATTAATTTGGAAGCAGACAACGACTCTAGTCCAGAAACATAACACCCCCACTTGGCTGCTTTCATATTTCAGTCATGTTCCTCTCTTTGCAGTTGGGCTCCAAATACCCCAGAGGCCTTTATTGTACTTATTTCTATTAACGTTTCAGTTTAAAAATATTATTAAAAGAAATTTTCAGGCACACATCCTGTATTTTAAAAGGTTCTTTTGACTGAAACTCTGGTCATGTTTCAGATAGAGTTAATTTCATAAACTCTAGCCCATCTCTCTAGCACTTAGAATCAACTTCATAACAAAGATGACACTTAGAAAGCACTATAATAATAGAAGGTATATTTTTATGTTGCCGGTTCCTACTGAACAAACTCTTCTCTCTCCATGGATTTGTGAGGAAGGGAGAAGGAGATAGAAGTGAAAAGAAACTCAAACCAGCTGTTCCTTAACAGAATTAAAATCGTGACCTCCCAACCTCTTCTCTAAAGCATCTATTTTCCAGGCAGCCCTCTCCCAGCAAGCAGCAAGTTCCAAGGAGGAAAAGACTTTGACCTTGTAACCCTCCCCTGCTCTCCCGAGGTCCATAACCTCAGATAAGAGAAAAGGAAAAGCAGGTCTAGGAGCCCTCACATGCTGACTGTGAATTTAACATTTTAAAAAGAGGTCATTCTTGGAAAACGGGGTTGGGAACTTCTCATTTATTAATGTAATCTTATTTTAGA